GAATAGTGATCGCACCAGAACGACAAAACACAATAACAGGCTTGGTCAACTTGTAAAAATTCACAACCTTTTGTTGATTGCCCATAAAGCAAACTTGAGAGCGTTATACAGCACGATTTAAAAACATTTTTATCGTAATGAAGCAGCCATAACATTGAAAACAAATAAACTAACAGCAAATCGGCGTGTGAATGCAAATAAAAATTTACAATTGGTCCATTGTTCTCAAATTTTAAGACCAATTTTTACATGTAATTGTGAGTGATAGTGTGTAATTTGACATGCAAAATAAATATTAGCAGCTAGCTGTATAATATTTTTGAATTTCGTTTCAGACTGATTAATAATATGCATTCACATATTATTTGGTATCATCTTGCATTTTCAAACATTTAGAAACTTTAGATCACACTTGTATTGCGAAGCTCCTGGAAAGCTACTGTTTTTACCTGTGTTCTTATTAATGTTGTCGTTGCCGTTGTTGTCGTCACTTCCGCTGCCGTTGTTCGTAATATATTGTTTGTTACCTCGATAGCTAACGTTGGGTAAGTCTCTGATTGGTTTCAAACTTTAAAGAATGCAAGACGGTAATAAGATACATGTCTGAATTTGCTAATTGCTCATTTTCATAATTATTATTTTACAGATCAGGAAATTTACACAAAATACTATCATGTTTCTCAATTTTAGTTGAAATTGTAAAGATGGAAATAAAGTGACGGAGCCTACGTTTTTGCTACGTTTGTGAATATGCTAATTTGTCGTTTGCATAATTAATATTTCACTAATTGGGTAATTTTAAAGCTAATTACCATGATAACTCATGTTTGGTTAGTCAGATTGGCTTAAAACTTTGCACAATTACAGATGGTTACAAAGCGATGGAGTCTATTTTTTTGGTAGGTGTCTGTATAATATGCTAATTGATTTTTTGCATAATTAAAATTTCACTAATGAAGAAATTTACGCTAATTACTAAGACAACTTAATTTGGTATGTCTAGTTGGTTTCAAACTTGGCAAAATGCATGATTGGTTATGTTACGTGTGAATATACTAATAATTGTTCATTCGCATAATTAATATTTTACTATAAACTCGGGAAATTTATTCTAAGTGAAATAATATTCCAATAAACAGTTTCTAATTTAGTAAATATTGTAAAAAGTAGGGTCAAAGGTCGCAGAGGTAAAAATCAGTAACTTTCAAAGACAAGCCACATTAACACTGGCTCACTACAAGGCAGTGTGCTATTTTCTTTCTGTGTGCTGTTTATTCTGTATACAAACGTATCTAGAACAAGTACCAATTTCTGTCAACTGATATGCAGACGATAGATGTTAGATTGGTAACATTAAAGATGATATAACTCTAGGTAATTACCTGAAGGAAATTGAGAACATTGCAAATTGGTGCCGTGATTGGCACATGATAATTTCCTTAAACTTAAAAATAAAAAAACAAACGAAATGGTAATAGAATAAATATTGTCAGAATAAATAATGAAGTAGTGGATAAAAAATAATGAGATCAAATATTCTGATACAATAATTGATCACAAGTTAAATTGGCATTGTAATTCTTAACACCTTTATAAGAAAGATTATACCTCATTTAAATAGTCAACAATGAAGTCGACCTTAACATGTTTTTTTTTAGGTTCATTATACTTACTGTTATCTCATTCTCCAATACTGTTTGGAGCAGCACCCTCACAATCAAAGACATAAACAAATTAAAGAGAGTTAGTAAACAGGCTTGGAAAATAATGAATATAAGATATGATCTTAAAGCTGAGTTTAATTATGATATTCCAGCCTTTGTCAAAACAGTAAAGTTAGACAAGAATAACCCACTGTTTTTACAATATAATTATGCAGTCTAGTCCGGTGTGCATCTACAATCAATCAATAACATAGCTGAACAATTTTGAACTTCCTTGGTACCAAGTTCCATTTGAGTTTTCAACACCAAAGGCCACAATTAAATTTTATACTGTACATTTTACCCAATTTTGTAGCCTGGAATCATTTTATCGATGTGTTCTTTCTTTTTAACGATTGTCCGTTTTTACATTAGGATCTTTTATAATTTTGTTTGAAGGTTTGCATGGCGAAGTTTAATAATACATATTAATGTTTGCGGTACACCACGTAGATAGTTCTGAAAAGAACTGTTGCTGGTTGAGAATATCTCGATTGAGTTGCTTCAATCCTCTTTAGGAAAATAATATAATTTATAATTTGATTACAATGATTCTTAATATCTTTTTTAACATTGAATATTTACGTATTATATGTATTTCGTGTTTTACTTATACTTTAAAATACAGTATTTTGTATTTTACTTGGTAATGTGTTTATTCAAACAAAAACAAATTCCATTTTAATATACATTTGTACTTTTTTATGGAAAAGTCAAAAAATGAATCTTGAAATCTTGAATAAAATTTCCAGTAACTTAGATTTTATATGCCCACATCATGTTCAGCTAATACTATGTCAAAGGGCAGATTTGTATTCACTACTGTAACATCTCAATAATCATATGTCATTTTGAATGCAATGTATGATAAAATGAATAAAATGGTAAATAAATTTTAAAAAAAAAACTTATACAGGTACAGGTTTTTTTTTTTTAAATCGTTGAACGTTGGATGGAAATTTACAGTGAAAGAGAGATGGCAATACACTTACTATTAGGGGTCAGATGCAATAACGTTCAAGGTGTTTGAGTATGGAGTAGGCCTATTCGTGTCGATTGAAAATCATTTGAATTTTGAAATGCAAAAGAGAGGGGGCCACATGCCATACTATACATTTGTATTTAGGGCCTACGCAAGGTCGCGTCGCTCTTTAACTGATTTCAAATTTTCATTTATGTTTTCGCCACGACAGTTTTTATGACTAAAATGTTGTTTTATAAATCTTGCATGCAGCAAAAAAATAAATAAATAAATAAATAAATAAAAAAAAACAAAACATATGTCAAGGCCTAATAACAAACTGTATTTTTCAGAAATATGGTATTTTCATATACTTGTCAGAAACACGGTTTAAAATAAATTCTAAATAAACAGGGTTTTTCATGAAAAAGTTGTATTAGAGGAAATGTATGTCTTCTGAATTTTATTTAACACCAAAATAGTTTATATTGACCTATGGACGCGTTGCAGAGATATGACCAATTCATATTTTCCCCAAAATCATGACAAGAGGTAAAATATTGATAAGCATTGGTTTGATGCAAAAAAATGTAGTATTAGAGGGAAATGTATGCGTTCTGAGCAATTTGACACCAGGATTATTTCAGTAGACTAAAACATTACTGAGATAATTATGGAAATTTAATTTTCAAAATAAAATGAAAGTAATAATTAAGGACAATTAAGAAATGATATAGTAAAATATAAGGTTTGATTCCATGTATGTACAGTTACAGTATGCTGTTGTTGATTCTTCATATACTACTG